GAGTACCTCACCTTCAGCATTATAATTATTTCACCCGCACCAGACAGAGACTGAGACGGTGCCGCTGCATGTCGTGCCAAACCTTCTCACGACAGCGTCATCAGCTTGAGATCGGCCTTTTGAGAGACCGCCGATCGATCATCCCAAAGCGATTATCGGCCGATAGTGATCGGTAGCCGATCAATCGGAGCACCCCTACTTGTTAGAGTATTGTAAGATTAGTTTAGCAACATGCAAATCTAATTTTTCCATATTTTTAAATAAAAAAAACATTGTTTAATATTGTGTAAAATGAAGTGTTGATTTCATTGAATACAGTTTTGTGTATGTATTTACAGTCTTAAAATGGTAGTGTTTTAATTTTATTTAAAGGGGTCCTATTATGCTCTTTTACAAAGTCTTGATTTTGTTTTGGGGGGTGTACTAGAACAGGCTCTCATACTAGGTTGTTCGAAAAACACATTATTTTTCACATATTTAACATTATTACAACACCTCTCTCCCCAGTCTGGCATGAATGGCTCGAATAGTTCCTGTATCAAATGAAGGCCCGCCTTCTGATATACGAAATGTGCTGTGATTGGTTAGCTGGGACAGTGTGTGTTGTGATTGGCACCACTCGGCGCCTGGTCGGGAAATGTCACGGTTAGAACCTTCAGAGGTACATTCATATAATTAATTCATTCATATATTCATTTGTATAATTCCCTTAGCACTCTTTTAAAACCTCCCAGCTTTTCCGCCCTGTTTTCACTCAAAACGAAACTACTCTGCATGCTGTGCGCACGTGAGACTGTTACTTAAAACTGTGCTTTATGCTGGACAGTATTTATTTATCGCGAGTTGTTCAAATCGCGGTAATCTAATACGGTTTTAATGATAATTAAAAGATGAAATGGTAATACTAACCGTGTGGAATTTTATCATGATTTATCGTCAAACCGGTAATCGTTACATCCCTACCTTCAGCATTATAATTATTTCACCCGCGCCGGACAGAGACTGAGACGGTGCCGCTGCATGTCGTGCCAAACCTTCTCACGACAGCGTCATCAGCTTGAGATCGGCCTTTTGAGAGACCGCCGATCGATCATCCCAAAGCGATTATCGGCCGATAGTGATCGGTAGCCGATCAATCGGAGCACCCCTACTTGTTAGTTTGTTTATGTTAGACAAGTAAAGAGCACCATGTTTTTATATTGCATTTATTAGTTTAGACCAAACAACTAAGTTAGACCCAACTAATCATTTTTTTGTATTGTATTGTCTGAATTTCATATTTTTTTAAATAAAATACATTTACAGAAAAATGCATGTACATTAATATAGGTTGAAATATAAACTTAATTAAAAAAACATATATATATATATATATATATATATATAAAATACAGAATATGAGATATCCTTTTGTTTTTATTCAAAGGTTTCTCATTTGTTTTGAATAATTGTGTATTTTGAAACAAAATTTAAGAAGTTTGTGTTTTGCAGCAAATGTTCTCCAAATGCCCGTGGAAAGAGTATAAGTCAGACACCGGCAAGCCCTATTACTACAACTCACAGACCAAAGAGTCTCGCTGGACTAAACCCAAGGAGCTGGAGGACCTGGAGGGTCAGTGTGCAGAATAAGCAGCATTATTATACACATCCAGAAATCTCACATGAGGAATGGTTTGACTTTTTTTTTTTCTCTTTTTTTTCAGCGATGATAAAGGCAGAGGAGAACGGGTGAGCATCAGCTTTATTTAATAAGACCATAAAGGGTTAGTTCACCCAAAAATTTGATTTACTTGCCCTCATGTCGTTCCAAACCCCGTGTGCCTCTTATGTTCATCTTCAAAACACTCTTAAAGGGGTCATATGGTGTTGCTAAAAAGAACATTATTTTGTATATTTGGTGTAATGAGACATGTTTATGCGGTTTAAGGTCCAAAAAACACATTATTTTCCACATACGGTACATTATAAAACGCATAGTTTTTTACATGACCCCTTTAATCTATGCCAATTGAGTGATTAAATGATGAACATTTAATCTGGGCCTTTTTTTAATACATGTAACTACATACATAGAGCTCATCAATTGTGGTAAATGGACGCTCAAACATGCTTGCTTTGACAGGGTTAATAATTCATGACAGAATAAAAATTTTTGGGTGAACTATCCTTTTAATGTACCGTTAGATTTACAGAAATCAGTTTTAAGTTTCAAAATGCTTTACTATTAGTGGAAAACGGTCCGTTGATGCAGATTCACCGCTACCGGTCATTTTACACAAATTAATGGCTTAATAGTGAAGTAAAATATTAATACTATATATTTTTTTCCAGGGTCAATGTAGACTTCTGTGTTATTGTAATTCACATTTTTTAAAATTCCATAAAAACATTAAAAATATATAATTACCATACAATTTTTATTTTTTTGTTTAGAAATTCAGAGATTATCCAACTATAATAATTTTTGATCTGTGTGTGTGTGTGTCTGGTGAAGGACGGCTGACGTTGTGGCTCCTGGCACCACCCCTGCTCTTACATCTCAGAGTGAGTCGGCTGTTACCGTGGCGGCAGTTGCTGAGACTGAGGTTGCCATGGCGACAGTCGCCACAGAGGAACAGCCGTCTCACGTGCCTGCGCAGGTCGCTGAGGTCAGCAGTGATGTCACTGTTAACTCCACTGAGGAAGCGCCCAGCGTAGAGACACAACCCAGGTAATGAAGCCTCAACACATACAAAAACACCCAGAGCATCACACCTCTCACACCACTCACTGAACAAAACAAAAGAGATTTTCATTCATTTACACTACCGTTTAATACTTTGGGGTCAATAATATTTTTCTAAAGAAATGAATGCTTCTATTCAACCAGGATGCATTACATCGATCAAAATTTGAAGTAATGTAAAAAAGATTTGAATACATTTCAAAATAAATGCTGTTCTTTTGAACTTTCTATTCGTGAAAGAATCCTGACAAAAAATTACTGCTGAAAATTCCGCTTTGCCATCACAGGAATAAATTATATTTTAATATACATTTCAATAAAAATCAGTTTGTAATAATATTTTCTGATTATACTGTTTTAATTGTATTTTTGCGCAAATAAATGCAGACTTGGAGAGCATAAAACCCTTTTACCAACCCCAAGTAGTGCTACATTACTTCCTGCTGAAAATTGTCAGATTACGAAACAAAGCGCTGTGAATTGTTTTGTGCCATACAAGACCCAATGTTCATTTTCCTTTAAAAGGTAAATTGCTATAGTTGCTTTATAATATCTTGTTTTATTCTATATTTGTTTGTTTTGCAGTAATGATGTGTCTAAGGAGGAGAGACCTGAGCTGGTGAAGAAAGTTTACAAGTGGAACACAAAAGAGGAGGCAAAGCAGGCATTTAAAGAACTGCTGAAAGAAAAGGTAAATTTCTCTCTCTCTCTCTCTCCTGTAGTGAAGAGGGAGGTCTTGATATTCCGGCTGGGTCTTTCTAAATTTAGTGTGTTTTAATTTGGCACACAAAGTGCTCCTGAGAGAGCCGCGGCTGTTTAATTGCTGTGAGTGTGATTAGACTGGAGTGAGTGAAACGGAAGATGCTGGAATCGCACGCTTCACAGACCCCTGACAGCCTTTCAGAAAGACACGCTCAGAATTAGGGCTGGCGGAAAAGATCGATTCGCGGCTTTTGAGAATCGATATCGAATCGACGTCATTTAAAAAAACGATTAATCGAAAAATCCATTTTTTTGCCCAGCCCTACTCAGAATGGATGAAGAACTGAATGTTTTGTGATGTCGACCTGGAGAGCTACTTCTCCAAACCTTTTCATTACTCTGTTCCCTCTCAGTGGACGCCCATTTATGCCTCTCAACAATAACATGAGAAATCTAATGATCCACTCAGTCAAATTGAAATCGTTCAGTATGTTGGAAAGTATATTACTCATGAAAAATGTGTTGATTACTAAATGGGTTCTTTAGAAAATCTAAATGAAGTTGTGCAGCCTTCCCTCTTTTTTTTAGCCCCCCCCCCACCCCCCAAACATGCATTATTGAGTAACAAGTATGCTGTAGCTTTGGAGAAAAGTAACTTTGCATCTCTGTCCCTCCATGTGACTATAGGGCGTTTCCTCCAATGCATCATGGGAGCAGGCAATGAAGCTGATAATTAACGACCCTCGTTACAGGTATCCAAATACTGCACACAGCATTAATGGCATTTAATAGCATTTAAATCCTGTGCACTGTTAAATGTGTCCCTGCTGTTCTTCACTGAACCGCTCACTGTGTGTGTGTGTGCAGTGCTCTGCCTAAGCTGAGTGAAAAGAAACAGGCGTTCAATGCTTATAAAGTCCAGACAGAGAAAGAGGAAAAGGAAGAAGCCAGAATCAAATACAAGGAGTCTAAAGAGACTTTCCAGCGCTTCCTGGAGAACCACGAGAAGATGACCTCAACCACACGATACAAGTGGGTTTTTAAAGCCGTTTTGATGACAACATTATTCAATGCTCACTTGACATCACAGTGTAGACCTTGTATTTTGGGTTGGGGTTTTGAAAAGCCTAGCAACTGTATAGCAACACAAAAAAAAATACTCCGAACACCTTAGCAACTGCATAGAAATGCCCTGGCAATCACCCTCACTTCAGTTTTGCATGCACAAGCACCACTCTCGTTTTTAATCCAGTATTACTATAAACAAGGTTAATGACTTTTCAGCTCTCTTTGTCTGTCATTGATTAAAATCACATCAGCAGTGTTCTCATGGTGACTTTTTGGGAGGTTAAATGATGTTATTGGTGTAAATCTCACCAGTATATAACAGTGTTGTTTGTCGTGAGTCCCTGTCTGCACTGTGTCATACGGTCTCAGAGAGACTGTTATTAATTACTAGTTCTGTGACGTTAATATCCTGCAATATCACTGCCCCCTACTGACTAGCTTATGACCTGCAGCAACGTTCATTCACATGGATGAAATCATGCTGTATTAAATATTACGGCAAAAGTTGTTGTTGTTTAAGCAGTGGTTGTTTGTGAGTAAGTTGTGTTGGCTTGTCTTGTGCAGGAAAGCGGAGCAGATGTTTGGCGATCAGGAGGTGTGGTCATGTGTCCCCGAGAGAGACCGGCTGGAGATCTACGAAGATGTGCTGTTTTATTTAGCAAAGAAAGAGAAGGTTTGATTGGTTTATTCTGTTTATTACTGTAGAAGAGAGAGCAGTGATAATCTAATAGCTTGCTAATTAGTTTTTTCTATTAAACAGTTTAAATGCTGATATCACTTTCATTTGGATGCATTTTAATATGCAAACGTTAATTATAAAGCAATAAACCAGATGTGGCTGTGCATTACAGTGATTAAGGGATGTTGTTAGGTGTGACGCATTGTAAAAAATCACTAACACACAGTGGCTTATTATAATTATAAAACTTTAGCAACTGCAATAAACATTGTCAAGAAGTAATTCCGTTTATTAGAAGAAAAGAGATCAGTAAATAATTCTTCCAAGTAATAGAACTCATTAGTTGAACAGTAGGCTGTTTATATTTGCCAACCACTAATATAATCAAAAATGTTTTTTTGTTGCATTTAATTTAAAATTCACTTGATTTGTGCTTAAACCTCCTGATACAATCAATAGTGCCTTTATATGTGAGTGTTTTTGCATCATGAAAACTCTGGAAAATGTGCTTAATTGTCAAGAAAATAATGGCATTTATAAACAGTGCAAAAATTCTTCATGCGCTTAAATCAGCTCGATTTATATATATATATATATATACATACACTACCGGTCAAACGTTTGGGATCAATAAGACTTGTAATGTTTTTTAAAGAAGTCTCTTATGCTCATCAAGGCTGCATTTATTTGATCAAAAATACAGTAATCTTGCAAAATGTTATTACAATATAAAATAATGGTTTCTATTTTAATATCCTTTAAAATATAATTTATTTCTGTGATGCAAAGCTGAATTTCCATCAGCCATTACTCCAGTATAAAGTGTCACATGATCCTTCAGAAATCATTCTAATATGCTGATTTATTATTAGAATTATCAATGTTGGCAACAGTTGTGCTGCCAAATATTCTTTTGGAAACTGCAGTACTTTTTTCAGGATTCTTTGATGAATAAAAAGTTAAAAAGAACAGCATTTATTCAAAATATAAATCTTTTCTAACAA